TCGTCCGAGACAAAATCAAGGATGGTTTTCTCAAGCCGCTGCATGTTTCCTCGCGTGACCAACTTGCTGATTTTCTTACGAAGGCGGTAACTGCGGATCATTTCAGACATCTCTTGTCCAAGATGGGAACTCATTCTCTTTATTCCCATTTTGAAGGGGAGTAATAGAGATTGTTATCTAAACAACCTGATATATTTTTATCTGTTAGTTTCCTTATATCTAGCAACAACAATATTCTTTCTCCTGTATATATTTTGCTCGTTTGGTATCAATGACAATACTGAAAATCTTCTGCATTTACCTTCTATTGCAAAGGTTATTACTCACATATAAAAATTTATTTTTCATATATGCAATAAATTAAAAATGCTTGTTCAATTAAGTCTAGTGGCGGTCGATTTTCGATGCATCCCAAAGTCAAACTTTAGCTTTCTTTTATTTTAATTAGGAAAAAAAACAAAACAGACACAAACGCTTTATCTCTGCCCTTATTATTCCTCATGTTTTTTTTTTGGTGAAAAAGCCAATGTCATAGCAGTCAGTGGTCAAGGGAAAAAAGGAAGAAAAAAAAGATTAGTTTGACTAGTTTTATTTAGGAAAAAATATGAGAATTTATTTGATTATACGGTGCTCAAATTTGTATCAACTATTTTTTTTCCCCAATATCTTGAAAGATTATTATTATGATTTAAATAATCGAATTAGATGATGAAAAGTTACATCTTTGTATTTTTTTTAATCCCTTTTCGGTAAAACTAAGACTATCGTGGTATGCTTTATTTTATCTCCTTATTCTTCCGATTGTCTTTTTTATATTCTCTCTAAAAAAAAAGATTTTGTCATGCCTCTACCATTTTTATCACGATTACTTTTTTTTTTCACAGTTTACAAATGCAAATTAGCAGGACCGGCATCATCATCACCATCATCATCATCATCGTCACCACCACCATCATCATCGTCATCATCATCATCATCATCATCATTGATTAATGTTATTATCTATACATGTCTAGACGATTTCAAAACAATACGCCAAAAAAGAGGGAAGAGTTTTGGCAGAATAAAGAGAAAATGACATGAGGGTGCAGCAGATGTGACTGGACAGATTGGACTCGAGAAGTTAGATTGTGACATTTCGGGCAAATTACATAATCGTTTTAAAAAAAATAAGAATAAAACAAATAAGCCAACTTGAATTTTGAAATGGATTTTTCAAGGACCTATATATATATATGTATATATCATATGCTATGTACTTACCAATATGATATTTATTTATCAAATTTATTTCACGGTCAATCTCGTCTTTACAAAATAGACATTTGTGTTGTGTGAATCCTTTTTAAAAGTCTCAACCCTTACAAGACACGTCACATGAAGAATAAAAAAATGTACTGGGCACTGGTTCTCCATGTCTATTTACTCCAGCTTTTAAACCGGTTCAACTACACATGAATAGCAAAAGAAATTCACGGTTTTGTACAAACCAATGCAAAAATCGTAATTACGCACCGGTTATCAACCGATATTACATTCTAAACACATATAAATAAAAATTAATATTGCCGATTAGTTTAGGAGGAAAAAAAAAGGCCCAATGGGCTTTTTTCTTTTACATACACGCGAATGCCGACGTGGTGTATATAATAAACCCTAGAAAGCAAAAGACATGCTGTGTTATGTGGTCGCTGTCCATTCATACGTTGGCTTCTCTGTTTTTTTTTTTATAAAAAAAAAATTGGCAGTTCAGTTTCTGCATGCAATCCCTGGTTTAGGCTTGTCTCCCTCAAACGTCAACGTTAACGCATGCATGCACATAACACAACGCATGTTACGTGTGTATATATATATATATATATGTATGAATGTGTTAGCGTTGATTTGTCTATTATTGTGTTTCTCCTTTCTCTTTCACCATACATGCAAAATCTCCTGCATTTTTGTCTCGTTTGCGAAACCAGTCAATATACAGTGGTCCTCATCAACACCCTCCGGATCAAACCGAGAAAATCCGATTTGATTTAATTATTCATTAGATCCTCACACGCATCCCCAAACTTATTTTTATTGTGAAACAAATGTAACAATAGATGTTGGATTCTTTCCGGTCCATTAATTGCCCGCATCGCATGTGAGGTCAGTGACGTGCATTTTGAAACATTTTATATGTCGTTGGATATAACTGTTTATTAAGTTTTCGTACTTAGGATCCATTAGCCATAGTGTTTACTTGTATAATAATTTATTGCGCGTTATACAATTATATTTGAAGTAGAGTATTTAGTTTAGTATCATATGAAAAAATAATTTAAAATGTCACACGAAAACCGGTTCTTTAAAGAGTCATTATTAGTTGTGATGTTTTTAATCATAAAATAAAAAAATGTGGTATGTCGATAAAAGGAAAAAATAAAAGTTTTGCTTTTAAAGGTTTACTCACACTTATCTCATCATTACGGGAATATTAACTTTGATCTAAATTCTTTATCCAAAGTAGTCTTTTTTATTTACTCATATATGCTCGAATATTATTTTTTTTCCCAACATTAGTTTAATTAATTGGAATAAGAGAAATGTCATTTCGCATTATCAAAATTCAGCATAGATCAGAATTTGGACATTGAACATGAATTTAAATAGTTAGGATACAAATATTCATTTTCATAGTCATTGTATTTTATTTTAAAATTTATGATTTTAAAATATTTCTATATAAATATAGTCAATACTGCTAATATGTGTGGTTATCAAATTATGTATGGTTGGCTAAAACGACTCACTTCTTGTCTTTTTCCACCGAGCCCATGCCTTTGGTTGATATCTTAGGCGGAAACAATGCAAAAAATGACATAAAAAAGGAAGATAATTTATTATCTATCTTTTGTACATCATTTATTTTGGATTTTGTTGCTTTGTAACATAAAATAGGTTAATTTATGCCCATGGCAAGAAAATGACATTTGTTTGTGGTTCAGTCAATTTCATCTTTGCTATATATACATACATACATACATACACATATATTAATATATCAACCCATAGACTATATACCGAAGGAAATTTAACCTAATAGTTGTGAAAAAAAAATCTATTTTAATTGAAAATAAGTGATGAGTCAAAGTAATTAAGATTGCATGAGCGTATTGATTTTCGTAGCAAAACGGCGCCGTATAAGTGTCTTTTCCTACGTTGGCAGGTCATGGCAGACATTAAGGCCTCATGTATGAGCTCTGATATACTGTATGTAATGGTGAAGGGGTTATATATACAGTTTGATTGTATATTGCGTAGTCTGACATGGGCGTGTATATAATATTTATGTACGTAGACACGAATGCATGCAAGTGAAAAAAAAATTATACATGCGAAAATATTCGTATATTTTTCTACAGATGTCATTTATTATATAACTTCAAACTCTGATATAAAATAAACAATAGTTTCCATTCAATTGTATAAAATATGACGTAAACTTGTCATTCAAATTCTAAAAACTCGCAACATATTCTACGGATGTAGACACACTGTAACATCTTGCAAGAAGATCCCATCGCATGGGCTTTTTTTTATATATAAAAAAAATTGTCGTTAGTCATTGAAATGTTACGAGACAGGAGAGCGGGCCATGGCACCGACATACCAATGTCGAAATCTGTATTCTCTACGTAACATTAGAAAAATACGACGCACGTACGTACAATCCTCATGGACTTTATGTACACACATATTCATCAATTATTAATTGTCACACGAGCTATTATATGGTGCGTGCATGGATTGGGTTGGAACCAATTAAATAAGGTGCACCCACTATGCTCAGATTTTTTTGGAAGATAATGTCATAATGAATACTGCCTTATATCCGTTGGGTCGTTTTAGAACACTGAACAAAAGTTTGCCCTCTCGATTTTACGGTCGGCACGAAATCTTGGACTTTTCATTGTCCATTCATGGATCCATGCAAATTTATACCGTATTTCTGTGTCTTCTTGTTTGTTTTTATTTTTTAATATGGACCGACACTACGTTGTTTTTCCTCTTACAAGTGATAATACGGAGTTAGAGAAAAAAAAAAGTCGGAAAGATTTTCTTTCATGGGTGTGGTCGTAAACGTGAAGTTTCAAATAAGAGTAACCAAAATATATAAAAGAAAAAGGTGGAGAAAAAGCGAAAGACAATAAGGTGGGAGATGGGGGAATTGTAGGGATGAAAGCGAAAATAAAATAAAAGAGACGTCTTTCTCATAAACACAGATCCCAATGGATTCAAAAGCAATTTGTGCTTGCTGTGTAATCTCATCTCAATCTTTGTATCCTTGATTCCTTTCTTTCTACATATTTAGAGAGAGAGAGAAAGAGAGAGAGAGAGAGAGAGATTTTGATATTGCAGAAGCTAGAGTCTTTGTTAATGGCGTGTTCATGATATTTACATGGCTCGAACAATGGTTTCCCAATGGTTGGGATTTTTCCGGCACCAAAGCGAGAAAGAGATGTGGAAGAAGAAATAAGAAGAAGGCCATATTCGTAGAAGATTGAAGAGAAAAGATGAAATCCTTTTGTAGCGATGATGACAATAACACGACGTCAAACCTGTTTGGCTTCTCTCTCTCTCCCGACATCTTCAAAATGGGAGAAAATAACGGCGGAATTGTTCATCACCATAACCAAACACTGTCTTCTACTTCTTCCGTCTCTGCGTCTGTTCTCCCTCAACTCGGTGATTATGGTAATAACAGAAACTATGGGGAAATCTATTCTCATTTGCCTGTCATGCCACTCAGGTCTGACGGCTCTCTTTGTTTGATGGAAGCTTTCAACAGATCTCATCAACCCAATCCAGGTATAAAAAAAAAGTTTGAATCTTTTTTATTGTTTCATGGACATGTTTTGTTCATTTCTTTTGTGGGTTTTTGTGAAACAGCTTCAATGCCCGAAATGGAGGATTTTTTCGGTGGAGCATTGAAAATGGGGACCCATCACCATAACTACAACTCCCACGGCTCCAACGCTCAAGATTCTCTGAAAATTTTCCGGGAATATCCAATCTCTCAAGAAAATCAACGCTATCCATTCACCAACTTCCCAGAAATCAGAAGCCACGAAGAAACCCACGGTTATTATCCACAGTCCACCGCTCAAACCCATCAGCTTCAAGCCGAGATGAAGAGCTTTGTCTCGAGAAATTACGAGAATGACCCTGGTATCACGCGGTCAGGTTCCGCCGGGATAGGGGCATACGGGGAATTCCAACAGTCGTTGAGCTTGTCCATGAGCCCTGGTTCTCAGTCGAGTTGCGTAACCAGTTCACGTCAACTCATCTCATCTGCTGTCTTGGACAGTGTTGGTTTCGAGACGAAGAAAAGAGGACAAGAAGTCGTCGTTGAGCAGAGACACACTGTTCATGGAAAATCCATTGACACGTTCGGACAGAGAACCTCCCAGTACAGAGGTGTCACAAGGTTTGTATCTTTGTATTTTTTTCTTCTTTTTAAAGTTATTAAAAATATAAAAAAATAATGTTGATTCTTGGGGTAATGATAATGTATTGTAACATATGGAAATAGACATAGATGGACCGGTAGATACGAAGCTCATCTTTGGGACAATAGTTTCAAGAAAGAAGGTCAAAGCAGGAAAGGGAGACAAGGTTTGCGATTTGTGATTTTTTTGTGAGTCCTTATATGATTATGATTTATGAATGATCGTGGAATATTATTGACATTATGTGTGTATTTGTTTTTGGCATGATCAATAATGCCAAATCATATGAATGATTTCATCTTCTCAGTTTACCTCGGTAAGTATTTTGGATCGATGGCTGCCTTTTTTACGTAAGTATTTTTGTTCCTAATGATAAATCCAATTTTAATTCCAAAATCTTGATTATTATTATTATTATTATTATTAGGTGGTTATGATATGGAGGAGAAAGCTGCACGAGCATACGACCTTGCTGCACTCAAGTATTGGGGTCCCTCTACTCACACCAATTTCCCCGTAATCATTTTATTTTCATATGTTTCGGTTTTACATCAAACTAACGATTATCGCTTTATAATATGTCGTTTATATATTATTTCACTCGATAAGTATTGATGCGTTTTTTATAGGTGGAGAATTATGAAAAGGAGATTGGAGAAATGAAGAACATGACTAGGCAAGAGTACGTTGCCCATTTGAGAAGGTAATTAATTGCGTGCATGGAAATATAAATATCTTTTTTATGACTAAATAATCTTGTGATTATTGTATTTGCGGATAGGAAAATTAACGCGAAATGCCCTTTTTTTGATGCAGGAAAAGCAGTGGATTCTCGAGGGGCGCTTCAATCTATAGGGGAGTCACAAGGTTCGTGCATGGATCATACGTTCTTTTAATATCATAATCATAGTATAAAGTTTAGGACTATATATTTATTTATATGGACCGATATTCTCTAATACTCTCCCACAAGATAACACAAATGAACCAAATCAATCTAAACCAATATTAAACCAAATGCTAAACCGATATTCTCTAATAACCGCCATTTAAATATATTGAAGGCATCACCAACATGGAAGGTGGCAAGCTCGGATCGGCAGAGTCGCCGGCAACAAGGATCTCTATCTCGGAACTTTCGGTTCGTTTCTTAGATAAAAATATGTTAGTTTCTAACTTATACTTTCGATGTTAAGTATTCTTATTTGATTACGTTTATGAATGGTTAGGTACTCAAGAAGAAGCGGCGGAAGCTTATGACGTGGCCGCCATCAAGTTCCGAGGCAAAAACGCCGTTACAAACTTCGACATGACGAGGTATGATGTCGAACGGATCATGTCAAGCGACACCCTTTTGTCTGGAGAGCTCGCGAGAAGGAGCAACGTTAACAAAGAAGCTCTGTTCGAGAACAGTCACGGCTCGGATGTCGTCCTCGATGGCTCGAGAGACGGAAACTCGGGCCGGGTCTTGAGTTTTCCGGCGGTTTTCCCGATCTCTCAGGTCGGTCCGAAGATTTTCGGTTCAAATGTCGCCGAAAACATGAGTACTTGGACGAACCCCAATGACGAAGTCAAGACTGTTGCTCTCTCGTTGCCTCAGATGCCGGTTTTCTCCGCTTGGTCCGATTCTTGATTTGGTTTTCTGGTATACCAAAGTGGCGGGTTCTCTCCATTCAACCGGTTCGGTTTATGGTTCAGGGAGAAAAGGTTCATGCAGGAAAGAAGAAATGGTGATACGGGGAATCCGGATTTTTCGGTTTAGTTTTGGTTTACGGATCGGTATAAATAGTTTTCCTTAGAACTTTTGTATCGGGATTTTGTAATATGCATGGACTCACCAAACGTATTGAATCAAATCACCAATCTCCTCGTGACCGTGCACGTATATATATATATATATACGTTATATGACTGGAGACGCAAGAAAAATCCATGATATAAGATATGGCAATATGCATTGATGGACCCATAACTGATTATTAGGTTTTCTTTTTGTGGCTTTATATATATTGTTCTTTTAAGTACAAAAACCTAATGAATGTTTGCATAATATATGTCTCCAATAATTCCATTGCTCTTTTTTAAAAAACCATATGTCGTCGCCCCCAGCACTAAAACATCATTGCTAAATTCTCATCCTTTGTCTCTTTTTCCCCACACCGAATCAGCTTTTCTCAAAAGATCACGAAAACACAAATATTCCCCTTTTCATCGTGTTATTTTAATATTTAATTTAATTTATTTTTGGTTGTATATCTGATCTAAAATATAATCCCTTGTATGGATTTGAAATTTCATTTCTCACACGTAAAACGGTACGTTTTTCTCAAACGGTGAAAATTTTGACCTAATTTTTTCTTTATAGATTATTTGTTACGTTGGAATCGTGTTTAAAATCAGAATAATTATTTTTTTAGTTATTCTATAATACTCCATCCGTTTCATTTTATATTACATTTAAGAATTCTACACAGAAAAATAATGTTTTATCCAAAATACCCTTATTTATTGTATAGATAATTATTATCTCTAAATATAATTAAATACTCTTAAGGATAAATTTTAAAAATATTAAAAAGTATATTGAAAATTTGAAAATATTATTTATTTTGAAATAAAAATTTTGTTTTTAAAACATCATATAAAATAAAACGGAAGGAGTATAATATTAGTAACAATAATGGTTATGTACTCGCGACCTTTTTATAGCCACTTACTAGGAAATAATTATGCCGGGAGCAAAAAGAAAATCCACCATTAGGGAAGAAGACTAGTCAAAATGTTCAGTTCCCACGTGTCTCTCTCATGTACCGCACGTGTGGATTTTGTTAAAAGCCCACGCATTGACATATTGGGCCGACATTAGGCCCATTAATAGAGAGAACCGGCCCATATTGGTGGTCGTTTTCGTATTTGTGAATGTGTCTAATGATACGAGGTTTGCGTGAAATACGAGGTTTACGTGAAATAATAGTCTTCATGCGGAACAATAGATATAAAGAACGATTAAATTGGGGCAATGCTATTTACTTTGGTCATTCTCCCTAGGGGTTGGCATTTCGAGAATCAATTTGGGTTCCGTACGAGAATACATTGATTTGGTTTTTTTGGTTTTATGAAAATAGGTACCAATCGGTTTTTATATTATGTTCAGTTCGGTTCGGTTTCGGTTCCGATTTTTATTTAAAAAAGATAGATTTTTTAAAATAAATTTTAGTTTTTCGGGACATTTTAAAATTCGGTTCGATTCGGTTCGGTTTTGAAAAATTCGAATTTCTAAAAATAAAATTATTCGTGAATTTAGAATGGTTTGGATCGAAATATACCATATTTTTCGATTCGGTTCGATTCGAATTGGTACGGAACCCAAAATTTTCTCCATGAAATTATAAAATATCCTAGTCATAGTCAAACTACAAAATAATTAAATTTTTTTTTTAAAAAAGAGTGGACTAATTGAATTCTAAAATATACAACTAATATAAAACCATATAATAAACATGATTCCCATGCGTGAAACGTGGAACACTTTATATATAAAGACTCATAATATTATTCAAAATTAATCGTAACCAAACGGAACCCGCAAAATTCCACGTATATAATTTGTAAACCAGAAAAAAGATTTAGTGATGGCTAAACTAATTAATTAATTAATTAAATCCGGGGGAATCCCTAAGGTTACTTGCTGTGTGTGTGACCAAATCACGATCGTATAAGATTATAGACAGCGAGATTTATTCACAAGAGAACGTAGTGTAATTATCTATATTAATTGAATTATGTATTATTAGTAAATAGAAACGCATATTTTAGTGCTAATTTAGGGTGTGACCCTTTTTTCGTGCTCGATCCATTTTAAAAATAAAAATGTATTTGATGGAGTTTTTTACTGCGTAATATTTATATTTTCGTAGGGTTTAATAATTAATTTTAAAAAATTTATTATTTTTTTTTATAACCCTTTGTAATGTTACTTTCAGATCTGTCTGGGCGTTGTGTATTTATATCTAATCTCTTAGTGTACTAATGAATAATGGAAGCTGTGGTGGTAATAGAGAACCAGCCACGATTGCGATTGAGAACCACATCTCTCCGTTCTCCTCTTCCCTATAAAAGCCACCGTCCCTTCCTCTCGCTCTTCCCACCTTCCATATCCATAACCTCGACCTCTCTCCGATTCGCAGCACCTTCCGGAGCCACCGTCATTGGCCGCGTCTCGGCGGCTGAGCTTCGCAACAAACGCGCCCTGACCTCTGCTTCGTCTTCCCTGAGGACGGCTATGGCGGCGATTGCCGTGGATTCGTTCGTCATCGGGACATTCTTCGCTTCCCTCCTCGCGTTCGTGCTTCTCTTCGTCGTGCGCCGGAGAAGCGCGAATGGTGACCGGAGCAAGAAGATCCGCGGGTCCTCCGGTGCCAGGAACGACGCCGTGCCGGTGGATTCGGCGGCGGAGTTATCTGGATCCGGTACCGATATCATCATTGTCGGCGCCGGTGTCGCCGGAGCGGCTCTTGCTCATACCCTCGGCAAGGCAAGTCCGATTTTCTGTAATTTCGAATGTTCTAGTCATGAAGAAAACATAGCAATGCTTCCAATTGCTCTTCTTCAGGCTGAATTTGGATTCGTTACATTTCTCGAACTTTTTCCAGTTTCATGTTCTAGGGATTTCGCATTTTCTCCCTTTTTCTGGGAGTTTTCTAGAACGGCTCCCGTTTCCGTTTAAATAAAATTTAAAATTATTCTAATTGTGGCGGTAATGGGATCGAATTATAGGAATTAGCTGTTTCCGTGTAGGCTTTTGCGCGAAGGGTTTGATTAATTTTCTTGAAGGAATTGCAATTTGCATGTGATGTTTGCTTGGCTACAGATTACTCGATGAATTAATCCATGAAAATTTGGCGTATTAAAAAATTTTTAATCTAATCTGATAGAGACATTTGATTAGTTGCGTGGAGGAAATGGCAATATCGTCGGTTTCATACAAATATTCTTGCAATGCAAGTTTCGGTGAAAGAAACGTAAAGATTTGGCTTTTAAGACATGTGATGATGTCTTTTGCCTGAAAGCGGTACCTTTGGCTTCACTTTCATGTTCGGCTCCGGTGAAAGAACCGTGTTGGACAGAAATAACCTTTATCCACGAGATTGGAGATGGTTGTTTGTCGGTTCTTGCGTTAAGTGCGTGTTTCTCGTTGATGTAACTATAGAATTCAGATGATACAGTGTTCTGGAAACTCGGGTTTCTTAATTTGTTAAAATTATCATGTTGTCTCGTATACATTTCGCAAAAATAAAAATAAAAATGGTACGTAGAGCTGTTGCAGACGAACTAGCTGATGTGTTGTGAGATAATGAATATCTTGCATGATTTTGGCTTTATTTGGTACAGCAAGGAAGGCGAGTTCACGTCATCGAAAGAGACTTATCTGAGCCTGACAGAATCGTGGGCGAATTGCTTCAGCCGGGTGGTTACTTGAAGCTCATTGAACTCGGTCTTGAGGGTAGGTGGTGCATTTGTTTGGTATTTTTGTTAGGCTTTATTAGGAGTGTATTTAATCTTGAAGATAACATATTATCTACGTGTTCTATGTATATAAATACGCTCATATCATCGATTGTATATCCAAGAGATTATTCCGTAAATCTTGTCAGCCTTCATGTTCTAGCCCTTCTATGAGAAAAATAATGTTTTGATGGATTTGTTTTGGCAATGTTAAAAAAAAAAGTTCTTATATTTGCTTCTTGACTGTAGATTGTGTGAAGGAAATTGATGCCCAGCGGGTTCTTGGTTATGCTCTCTTCAAGGACGGGAAGAATACTCGAGTTTCTTACCCCTTGGAAAAATTTGATTCGGATGTGGCTGGAAGGAGCTTCCACAACGGTCGGTTTATTCAGAGAATGCGTGAAAAAGCTGAATCTCTTCCAACGTAATCTTCTGAGTCCTTAAACTACAAACTTCAACACTGTACATGTTCCACATTTTTTGCATTGGTATCTTTAATTAAAATGTGTGCTTTCGGCATCTGTTACCGTCTTCGAATACTATGAAACTTGGCTTGTGCTTCAGTGTCCGGTTGGAGCAAGGGGCAGTGACATCATTGATTGAAGAAAACGGGACAGTAAAAGGGGTTCAATACAAAACAAAGGACGGTAAAGAACTTAGAGCATACGCCCCTCTCACGATTGTTTGCGATGGTTGTTTCTCAAACCTTCGTCGTTCTCTCTGCAAGCCGAAGGTGATATGTTTTCTCCTCCATTTTTTTTACTATAGTTTCTAGCTTCACCTAAAATGATTGATTCTGAGAAACTTGAAGCCTTTGTTAATATTAATCTGTTCCGGCACTTACTTAGTATATATCTATCAGGTGGAGATTCCCTCTAATTTTGTGGGTCTAGTCTTGGAAAACTGTCAACTCCCATATGCAAATCATGGGCATGTTATTCTCGGCGACCCGTCGCCTATCTTGTTTTATCCCATCAGCAGTTCAGAAGTTCGTTGCCTCGTTGATGTTCCCGGTCAAAAGCTTCCTTCCATTGCTAATGGCGAAATGGCTAAGTACCTCAAAACACAAGTAGCACCCCAGGTACCAAACTCTGTTCAATAAGAGATCTCGAGCACAAAATTCGGGAAATGCCACAGTCAATGTGCATTTATATCTTAATATCTTTCGCATTCATATTATATCTCCAGGTTCCACCCGAGGTTTATGAAACATTCGTCGCCGCAATTGACAAAGGCAATATTAGAACAATGCCAAACAGAAGCATGCCAGCTGATCCAGTTCCTACTCCCGGAGCCCTTCTTCTGGGCGATGCATTCAACATGCGCCATCCATTAACCGGCGGTGGAATGACGGTCGCGCTGTCAGATATCGTCGTTCTACGGGATCTTCTCAGGCCGCTTCGTGACCTCAATGATAAAGAGCAACTTGCTAAATACCTCGAATCCTTTTACACCTTGCGGAAGGTTAGACATAACGGAATCACAAACTCGATCTGCTCATACATTCCAGTTGAAAGTTTACTGATATTATGGTGTGGCCTTTCACAGCCGGTGGCATCCACCATCAATACTTTGGCGGGTGCTCTTTACAAGGTTTTCTTGGCGTCCTCCGATGATGCGAGAATGGAAATGCGTGAAGCTTGCTTCGATTATCTCAGCCTTGGAGGCGTTTTCTCGTCTGGTCCAGTGGCATTGCTATCGGGTTTAAACCCTCGCCCTCTGAGTCTTGTTCTCCACTTCTTTGCTGTGGCTGTCTATGGCGTCGGTCGTTTGCTCGTGCCGTTTCCTTCGATTAAGCGCTTCTGGAAGGGGGCTAGATTAATCTCGGTACGTATATATCCCATCGTTAGAGATAACATGGCTCGGTAGATAATGCTATTTTTTCGTGTTACCCTAAAGTTTATCTCTTTGTACAGAGTGCTTCGGGCATAATCTTTCCGATAATCAAAGCCGAGGGAGTGAGGCAAATGTTCTTCCCTCGTACTATCCCCGCTGTGTATCGAGCTCCCCCCCGTCAATGATGCATTCGGAAGATCAAAGCCATCGTAGCAAAGGCTTTCACCTCTAGACCGCTCTTGTAACTTATCTGAATAATAATGTCGTTTGGTTTGTGGAAGTGTTATTTTTTTGGTTTAAAGTGTAACATTAGCTCAGGTTAATGAATCGAAGTGTGAAGTGTAAGAAATGGACAAAAGATCAAAGTAAAGATACTGTTGTGTTATCTCTAGATCCAGCTATTAAATATTAGAACTATACATTGTTGTAGCTTTCTTTGAAATATACATTTGTGTAAACTGAATGATTCTAACATCTTCCAGGATTTGCTTCATCTTTTGTACTTTACAGCTGAAGGAAGAGGCCAAGGCCCTCTACAGTTACTAGACCTCAGCATGATGATCTGTCTCGTCGTAAATCTCCTCCTGAAAAATAGGTAAATTCTCCGATTACTATCGAGTTTTTCAATTTCCGCAGAAAAAAAGGCGACCGCATTTTTTTTCTTCTAACTCTGTACCTGTAGCAGTTCTTCGATGACATGTTCCAGCGTGATGATACCGATAGCTTCCCCTCCAGTGTTTGCCTCTGGCAATGGATTCTCGCTGCATTGCAGGATCTCCCGGTGAGAGTCTCTCCCCCATTCTTGCTCTTTTGGGTAAAGCTCTTTACTTTCCTGAGAGATCTTTTGCTCCTTAAACACCTCTCCAATGGATGCATGTCCCCATCAATGTCCACCCTCACATCTTTCTCTGCACATACATTTATTCATCATTGTTTCGATACCCCTATCTGCAGCCACGGTGATAGATTTAGCTCTTACCGTCTGTTGAATATCCTCCCTCTTGTTGTTGCCGATAATCCGGGCCGTTCTGCTGTTTTATGACAACCGCCATGTGGCTGTGTCCTTTTTGAAACTCGTTCAGGATGTTGTAAAGAGGCATCGTCTCGGGAACCCTATGAACAAGAAGTTTCTTCACTCAGTTGTTGTTTCCTCATCTGCGGAATCTGGAACGGCATTAGGTGGTAAAGGCTAATACCTTGGAATCTTGCGGATGGAAACATGCTTCACGGGCACAGCGTCTTCCGAGTTTATGGTCAGCAAGTTCTTCACCTGCTCGGCCCGAACAATCCCGGGTTAGTTTCTTAAGACCGTTTTCTTTTTTCATGTATTAGCAAATCGGAGGAGTGAGGTAAAAGTTTGTAGAAAGTGACCAGTATGAGACCGATGATGTTTGCAGGTTGCTGGTAATAAACAGGAACTCTGCTATGCCCTTTTTCAAGAATCAACTTCATCAAATCTCCATCAAGTCTGCCATTGATATCGATGGAAAACGTCTCAGATATCGGCGTCATTGCATCTACGGCCTTCTTCTCTGCGAGATCAAGCGCTCCAGCTATGATCGTCGTCTCATCATGTGTCAGCTCGCCTCCTTTCCCTGCCTAAACCCGTTTCAGACCGATTCAATCAAATCCCGAGGCCAATGGACTGTATCCGGAGATATGGGTATAACGGGAAACAAAGCTATACGTCGTTACCATGAAGATCAACTAGGGTTTTCAGCTCGGCTCTTCGGAACAAAGCCTCATGCCCTTCTCCCAGCAAGAAATCTAGCAACTGGTTTTAAAGGGTCCAGACCAGACAAAGAGACTTGCTGCCGTTAATGCCGACATCATGATCTCTCAAAAGTAGAAGTACAAGTAGATGTACGGAAGATTTCACCTTGCTTATTGGATAGGCAATGGGGAAACAAATCCAAACCAATACCCTAACCACCGGTGCCATCTTAGCTCCTATCGCCAATCCATATCTTGAACATACCACTTGCGGAATAATCTGCCACCACCACATTCAGTACAAACAACAATATTCTTTCTCCTGTATATATTTTGCTCGTTTGGTATCAATGACAATACTGAAAACCTTCTGCATTTACCTTCTATTGCAAAGGTTATTATGGTATCAGAGATTTAATACCCTCCGCTTATTTTTTTTCTTTAATTTTCTTTTCCCACCATGTCATCTACATCTGATGACGTTGGTTCTGATCATACAGAACCTCAGGCCTCTTCTTTATCTCCTGTTCGATCAAATTCCCTTGATCCATATTCCAATCCGTTGTTCTTACATGCAGCGGATACATCCAGTATTTCTCTCATTTCTGAGAAATTGATTGGCGAATCAAATTATAATGTTTGGTCCCGATCCATGTCGAAAGCTCTTAATGCCAAGAATAAACTTGGTTTTGTTGATGGGTCTATTCCCCAGCCTTCTTCCACTCATATTGATTCAGGTCTTTGGTCACGTTGTGACGATCTTGTCTGTACTTGGATCAACAACGCCGTATCCCCGGACATTGCCAGTCTCATCGTTTACCTCGACAATGCTCGGGCAGTTTGGTTGAATTTGGAAAATCGATTCAAGCAAACCAATATCTCGAAGATCTATCATATCCAACAGAAGATTGACAGCCTACACCAAGGTTCGGTTGATTTGAATGCATATTTTACTAAACTGACGTCTTTATGGGAGGAGCTCAAGAATCATGAGCCGTTACCTCTGTGTACGTGTGGTGGTTGTTCTTGCGGCATGGCTCGCAAATGGCAGGATCTTTTGGATAGACGCAATGTCGTTCGTTTTCTGATGCGTCTCAATGATTCTTTCACACCCGCTCGCCGTCAGATCTTAATGATGGATCCATTACCGGACCTCACTAAAGCTTACAACTTGATTTCTCAAGAAGAACATCAACAGATTCAGCATCCGGCTCCCACTGATTCTGTTGCATTTCAGCTTCAGTCCTCGAATTCTCGCATACGGAATTCCACTGTGTCCTCTCAGTCTCGGGCTCCATCCTCTGCTCGTCCTCGGCCTCACTGTACTCATTGCGGCATGGTCGGACATACGGTCAGTAAATGCTTCAAAATCTATGGATATCCGCAAGGTTATAAATCTGGTCCTTCTGGCTCGTGGTCTTCCCGTGGCACTCTCTGCCCAATCTCGCAATTTCCCTCCTGAGGTTGCATTACCTCATATCAATATGATCGGTACAGAGATCCCTGTTTCTGTTGGCACTGCTTCGACCCCTGCTGTCAGCGGCTTGAGAAAACCATCCTTGATTTTGTCTCGGACGAAATGACAATCGAGCTCAATATGTTTCGTGCGTTCGTGATAAACCGGGTTATTAGCAATATGGACTGCAGATTGATTATCGCAGAAAAGCGAAATCGGTTGAGGACAATGAATATTCAGATCTTTCAGCAAAGCGGCAATCCAAACAAGTTCACAAGAAGTCTGCGCCATAGCTCTATATTCGGATTCTGCTGAACTACGGGAAATTGTACGTTGTTTCTTAGACTTCCAAGAAATCAGCGAACCACCCAAGAAAACGCAGAAACCGGTGACCGAACGTCGCGAGTCGGGACAAGCCGCCCAATCGGCATCAGTATAAGCGCTGAGACGAAGATCTGAATTAGCCGGGTAAAGCAGTCCTTGACCAGGTGAACCTTTGAGGTACCTCAAAACACGATAAGCGGCCTGTAAATGATCAGACCGAGGCTTGGACATGTACTGCGAAAGTTTGGTAACAGCGTATCCGATGTCTGGGCGAGTTATGGACAGATAGATGAGCTTCCCAAGAAGAGCTCTGTAGTGAGTCGGATCAGAAATGATATCCCCAGAGTCTTGGCCAAGTTTCAGACCGAATTCCATGGGAGTAGAGAGAGGCTTGCAACCGAGCATGCCAAAGTCTTCCAAGAGCTCGAGGGTGTACTTGCGCTGGCAAATCGATATTCCAAGTTTAGATCGGGCAATTTCTAAACCGAGGAAATAACGCATATCCCCAAGATCTTTCAAGAGAAATTGCGACTGCAGACACTGCTTCAAGGCGTGAATCAGACCAGCATCATTGCCAGTAATCAAAATGTCGTCGACATAAATCAAAACCGCAACAAAAGATGAGCCCTGCGTCTTAGTAAAAAGAGAATGATCATTCTGGGACTGAACATAACTCGCAGAAAGAAGAACCTGTGAAATCTTGATGTTCCATTGGCGCGATGCTTGTTTAAGTCCATAAAGGGACTTGTGAAGACGACAAACCGATCCTGCCGGAAAAGACTCCCCCTTAAGATCAGCAAACCCAGGAGGAAGAGACATATAAATCTCCTCAGATAAATCGCCATTGAGAAAAGCATTCGATACATCCATCTGCTGAATCAACCAACCTTTCGCAGCAGCCAAGGCCAACAATGTGCGTACCGTGGTCATCTTGGCGACGGGACTGAATGTCTCCAAAAAATCAATGCCTTCGATTTGTGTAAACCCCTTTGCCACTAGTCGAGCTTTATGCCGTTCAACAGAACCATCGGGGTTGAATTTTGTCTTAAACACCCATTTACATCCAATGGGGCGCTTCCCTGCAGGCAAAGAACAAACAGACCAAGTCTTTGTACGAGAGAGAGCATCCAGCTCCGAGAGCATGGCATCTCTCCACTGAGAAAATTTCGCGGCCTTTGCATAAGAGGTAGGTTCAGGGAGGACAGAGGTAGATAAAACAAAGGATTTGTAAGAAGGGCTAAGGTTATCATAGGTAAGGCATGAAGATAGAGGGTAAATCGATGAAGGGGAATCAGCCAGGGGTTTGTTGTGGGTAATCATGTAACAGTGATAGTCGGATAAGTAACCTGGAGGTCTGGTAAGTCTGTTGGGACGAGCAGATGTCTCTGAAACAGGAGACACAACAAACCCCTGGCTGATTCACCTTCATCGATTTACCCTCTATCTTCATGCCTTACCTATGATAACCTTAGCCCTTCTTACAAATCCTTTGTTTTATCTACCTCTGTCCTCCCTGAACCTACCTCTTATGCAAAGGCCGCGAAATTTTCTCAGTGGAGAGATGCCATGCTCTCGGAGCTGGATGCTCTCTCTCGTACAAAGACTTGGTCTGTTTGTTCTTTGCCTGCAGGGAAGCGCCCCATTGGATGTAAATGGGTGTTTAAGACAAAATTCAACCCCGATGGTTCTGTTGAACGGCATAAAGCTCGACTAGTGGCAAAGGGGTTTACACAAATCGAAGGCATTGATTTTTTGGAGACATTCAGTCCCGTCGCCAAGATGACCACGGTACGCACATTGTTGGCCTTGGCTGCTGCGAAAGGTTGGTTGATTCAGCAGATGGATGTATCGAATGCTTTTCTCAATGGCGATTTATCTGAGGAGATTTATAT